GTTTGTATACTTTCCGGGCTAAGGTCCAATGATCGGGCGGGGCCCGATGGTTGTTTGCATGCTATGTATCTATGTTGCATGTGTATGTGTTTATTCGATATATGTTATGTGAGTGTGGTGCGGGCCCGTATCTCAATATTGCCTGAGTGTAAGTGGGGTCTGTATCTCATTAGTCAGGTTTCGTATCTCGATATTATCTGAGTGTGGGTAGGGCCCGTATCTTATTGGGTGGGGCCCATTATTCGAGTGTGGGTAGGGCCCGTATGTCACTATCATCCGAGTGTGGGTAGGTCCTGTATCTCGTTATTATATGATATGAATGGTATATGGTATATTAGGGAACTCACTAAGCTTTATGCTTACGGTTTTCAGTGTATGTTTCAGGTACTTCGGTTTTCAAAAGGAAGAGCTCAGGTTGATTGCATGGCACGCACACTTTTTGTTCTGCATTTGACTTGTTTTGGGATATAGACTCTTATTATATGTATATGTTTTATTTAAACAAGTAATTGATGGCCCTTCTTTTATAAATTAAACAAAATTTATGTCAATATTTTTTGGGACGTTACAAGTTGGCATCAGAGCCTTGGTTTGAGAGATTTGGGCACACTCTCGGGTGTGTCTGGAGTCAAACTAAGGACTTGGTAGAAATTTTCAAAAGAAAATATTTTTATAAAAGAATTTCTAAAAGATAAAAGGGTGTGGTGAGTACAATCAGCCGAGCTCAAGTAAGTTTTCCCAAAATACCCATACATGTTATTTGTGATTCTTTGACCTGTGAATCTGTGGAATCGCATGCTAGTTAGGGCTAAGGATCCGCTCAGTTTTTGCATGTTAGAATGCTAGGAGAGATGCTTTTGTATGCCTATTGTATGAGCTTGTAGACTTGCATGCCAATTTTGATTAGCTAGTGATAGGTTGGCCTGTTATGTGATACTTGGTAGCCTAGGAAGCATAGGATGCTGGTTCGGGTATGATTTGTATGCGTAAGGCAATCTGTAGCAGGAGTAGGAACTCCTAGTATGAGTTGTAGTAGAGGGATTAGATGCATGTGATTATTATATGGACAAGAGTGATACTGTACAAATGATGCTTGCTTTGTGCTTTGTGGAACTCCTAGGTGATGGGAGTCAACTACTAACTGAATATGTCAAGTCACATGTGTCAAAGGTTGGATAATCTTATAGTGACGGATTTAACTATATTGCGCAACTCTTTTCTGAGTCCAACCGTTGTAGGGATGAGTCTGTTACTCGAAGGATTATCTAAGCTTTTTTTGCATGTAATTGTATTCATGAGGTGGGTGATTGGCATTATAGGGAGTTCTTCAGCAGCTGATGGCAGGGTGAGGTCGGGAACCTAAGAAAGCCTAAGGATTGCTTTAGTGGGTTTCATTGCGTTGGTTAGCGAGTGTTTAGTGATTGGTTTTAAGAGGGTGATTTAGATGATTCAGGAGGATCCTTGAGGAGAGTATGGATAGGTGTGGAAGGTAGTATTGGGTCCATACTACTGAAATCACGGGATCCATACTCAAATCGGGAGAGTATTGGAGAATCTAGGAAACCTGTGGGATGAGGATTCTCGAGTATACTTGGATCATTTGCATGTTGTTTGCGGTATGGTGTTGAGCACTCAGGAATGGGGTCCAGGTTATGGTTTCGGCTCATGTGTAGGTACTGAGCCAATCGATGTGCGGATGCAGGAGTTAATCCCATCGGAGATTACTCGTGGCATTTTGGAGTGGACCCACGGTGGCCTTGGGTTCAGTTAAGGAAGGGATTTTAGAGCTCTTGGATGATCATCTCGGGTTATTCGGGTCGAGATTGTAGTAGGGCAGTTGGGGGCTCATCTGGAGTCCAAAGCTTGTGGATCCCTAGCATCCTTCAAGAGGGAGGATCTTATGGTTAGTTCGTATCATTGGGATCGAAAGGGAGTTCCATACCATGTACTTAGGAGGAAGTCAGGATGTCTCCAGATGCTCTTGCGGGTATTTCGTATTTTGTCTTACCTGGGGTCAATATCAGGAATTTGTTCCACACTCCAATTTTGCTTGTTGGGTGTCGGGATTATTCGATGAATCTTCAGATGGTCATATTTTGTGGAGTAGATTTTACGTGTTCCATTGTTGTTCCAGATATTTTTCGGGATCGGTTCAGGAGTATTGCTTGGAGGATCTTTGGTTAGGGGATAGTTCTCCAGTGAAGTCAAGGTTTAGTGGTTCTATCATTTGTTCGGGAATGATTGACAATTGAATACGAGAGAACTTTGGAGTTCAAGGCACTACCATTACTAGGGAAGGAACAGTAGCAGGAAGATAGTGGTGTTAGTGCGTGAATCGTTAGATCATCGGATGTGTCAAGGGAATTGTATCTTCGCATGGATTGAAGTCTGTTAGAGTTCAGTGATTCCTTGAGGATTGAAATTAGAATGGAGGTTCGACGGTGCATGGCAAGGGTTATAGCTATTAGTCGCAATGATAAGAACTCAAGGAATTGGTATGGCATCATGGGAGGTGATTTGGATCATCAAGCTTACGGGATGAAAGAGATTCGTCGAATCCAGGTGGGGAGAGCCGAACATAATTTCTGGGAGTTGGATCGGGTGTGGAACTAGGGCAAGTTTCACATCCTGGTCAGGAATAGAGACGACCCAAGTGGGCTGCCGAAAGAGCCACTGAGACCGGTATTTGTAGCTGTGTTCGTCATTGCATGGGTCATGTGTGATCGGGAAGCTCTCAGTAAGGCTAACCGCCACTCACCTTTCCACATCTTCATTCTTTTTTGTGGTTTGACGTCGTGTACGTCGTCTGTTGTCGCCAGTGGCCTTTGGTCGTCATTTCAGTGTTTCTGGCGTCGTCAGCCGCCTTGTTGGTGGCTGAGAATGGTGGTTTTGTCTCGTGTGTACGCGTGTGTTGCTATTACAACCGGTGAAGTGTGTGGACGAGTTGTTATGTCGGTCGGAGGTGAGGCGAACCACCATAGCAACCAACCATGGTGGCTACCGCCAAGTTTCCTTCTTTTGCCGCCACCAGCCACCGTGAGGAGGTGGCTGTGTGTGTTTGAATGGGTGTGTTTTATAGATGTACATTTTGTGTGTGTGTTCGGTTATTGGAATTATCCCTCGAGTCACCATCGTGTGCAGGTGATTGCCGCCGTGAATCGCCGTCGACCACCACCGCCCGAGGTAGCAGTGGGTGGTGCCCGGCCTAGTGAAACCCTAATTAACCTAAAAACTCAACTTTGGACTTTGTAGCATGTGCTTGGGTTGGAAACCCTAATTAGGGCTTAGAAAACCCTAATTTTGGAGATTTAGTTTAGGATTTGCTGGGGCTCGCATTTTGGACCGTTGGAATTGAATTATGAATTATGCCCGACGAAATCGTATGACTGACATAGTAGAATGATGGACTTAATGGATTAAGTCCTTAATGGGTTAAGTGTTTTTACTTAACCCTAATTATCATTTCATGTGGAAACCCTAATTGTGTATGAGCTTGAGTTGGGCCTTTTCTTTTGGGTTTAGGTGTTTGGGTTCTTAATGGGCTATCTATGAACAAGTGTATGGACTAGGATATTTGGATGGGCTTCAGGATAAGACTCATGTAAGGGGTTTAGGCCCAATTTGGAAAATTAGGCCATAGTTTGGCATTGGTTGATTATTTGGATTTTGTGCCTTCAGAGTGTGATTTTGGGCCTTGGTCTTGGACCAAGTTAGGTTAGGGGTACAACGGCTATAGATTTATCCGCGGGACTTCAGCAGTGCGAGGTGAGTTTCCTCATCGGGTTTAGCGGGTTGAAGGCACCAATGCTGACTTATGTTTATGTTATGTTAGTATGCCAGTTGTCTTTGTGACTCTTGCATGTGTATGCGTTTGTATGCTTTCCGGGCTAAGGTCTGATGACGGGGCGGGGCCCAATGGTTATTTGGATGCTATGTATCTATGTTGCATGCGTATGTGTTTATTTGATATATGTTATGTGAGTGTGGTGCGGGGCCCGTATCTCGATATTATATGAGTATGGGCGGGGCCCGTTATTCGAGAGTGGGCGGGCTCGTATCTTACTGTCATCCGAGTGTGGGTGGGGCACGTATCTCATTATTATATGATATGAATGATATGTGGTATATTGGGGAACTCATTAAGCTCTGTGCTTACGGTTCTCAGTTTATGTTTCAGGTACTTCGATTTTCAAAATGAAGAGTTCGGGTTGATTGCATAACACACACACTTTTTGTTCCGCATTTGACTTGTTCTGGGATTTATACTCTGATTATATGTATCTTTTTTATTTAAACAAGTAATTGATGATCATTCTTTTATAAATTAAATGAAGTTTTATGTCAATATTTTTGGGACATTACAGTGTTCATCAAATACGGAGTTCATACATTTATTTTTGAATGTGTTCGTCCGAAAACCATCAACATATTTGATTTTTTTTTGTATCTGAGTGTGTTCATCAAATATGGGGTTCATGAATGCGTGTGTTCATGAGTTTTTGAGTGTTTGATTAGAGATTTGATCAAAAACTTCATCTTTAGTCAAAAAATTCATTTTTAGCTCGGAAAACCTACACCACCAGATAATAAGCACGTAATGTGAATAGTTCAAACAAATTCAACAATGTAAATGTGTAATATGAAAAAAAAAGTGGCCATAAAACTATCCTGAGTGTAGTTAAATAGTTTTACATTTACCATAATACAGTTTAAGTATAAACAAATCTGATTCGTTTGTCTAAATCTAATTGATTTCAATCCTGAATTTGAAAAATACAAATCAAAGTAAATTTATTGAACACTGGGAAATGGATTTGAACAATTCTTCTTTGAATTATAATTATGAGTTAAAATAATCAGATGATTAAAATGAGTATGTTAAAACTTAAAAACCTGATAATTGTTTTGTGTATATTTACGACGTTTTAATTAGTAAATATCGAAAATGGTTATAGAATTAATTCGAAAACATTTGTAAATTATAATGCCTCTCGATAACCCTCGAATTCCCTCCTTTTACTTTCTTTAAAACAGAGCGAGTATTGGTAGCTATTCAATTGTTCAGGTGGGGAAAAGAAGAAAAGCTAAACTCAGATTAACTCACCGCCCATCGCTTCAACTTCGCCACCGGCGGCGGCGCACCGATTGATTTTTTTTTTCGTTTACTTTCGAGATCGTAACATTATTTCCATGTCACCGGCAGTCGAAGATTTTTTATCCCCATCATCGTCCTCCACACAGCGTTCGTATTTCCAGAACCCTAACCCTAGCGCTCAGGGACATTTTACTGATTCAGGTATATTCGATAATAGTTTCAATCTCATGAATTCTAGTAAACTTGATTTTGATTGTTCAAATGACGCGGCGGCAGCGGAAGCCGCCACTATTCGTTCTTCGAGGAGGAAACACGTAAAAGTGAAGAAACAATCCAGCTGTAACGGTCCAGTGAGTAAAAAAACTGATAATAGTACACGTGATACTACTGGTTTCGTGTTCAATGCGACTACTAGTGGTTCAGTGTTAAGGTCGAGTTTAGGGCAAACGGGATGTGATGGGAATGATGAACGACAGCGTGATGGTGAGGTTTTGGATTTTAATCTACTGCGGTTTACCATGGGAGTTACTAATAATAATCAATTAGGAAACAAGATGGGTGCAGAAAAGGTACAGAAGAGTGGAAATAATTTTCAGCCTGGTGATTTAAATTTTGTTTTTGGAGCTGATGATGAAAAGGGGGACATTAGGAAAGCTAGTGAAAGAGGTTCTAATAAGTTTGGAAAACTTAATGGTGTGGATATTGTGTTTGGTGCGAATATGAATAATGGTGTACTGAACTCGAATTCAAGCAATATTGGGCATGAACATGGGCGTGAAGGTGTAGGATTGCATGTAGATGATAGTGAATCTAGTGGAAGAGTCAGAAGCTCAGGTATTGATGGGTTTATGAAGGTCAATAACTTCAAAACTACGCCTGATTTCCATCTGATTAATTCAATGTCATTCTTAAATTTGGGATCAAAAGGACCAGGTGAAGCTGCACCCTCAATGAATAGCAACCTAAAGACAGAGAAGAACAATACATCAGATAGCATAAAATTTGAAAATCTGGGCTTTGTGTTTTCTGCCAATCATAGAGATTTTCAGACAGATTCGAATATTGGAAAACAAGAATCTGAAGAGAAGGTTGACAACTTAGCACCTGAAAGTGCTAACAGGAATGTAGATAGTGGAGTAATTTTTGGAAACAGCCAAGTCAATGGAATCTTTCATATTGGAACTCATGATGGAAAAAAATCCAGCTTCAAGGGAAACATGAAAGTTGATGATGAAACGAACATTATGAAGAGTCAAGGAGCAGGAAGCTCAGATCACTTAAAGAAGCAAGAGAAGGATAATGTGGATTCTGTTCTTGATGGTAATTCCACCTTTGTTTTTGGAAGTAATCTGTGCAATGCTTTCGGTGACAACCCTCAATGTAAAGTCTCCCATGACACAAAGACTTCAAACATCCATGACCCCACAAAAGTCAGTACTACTAAGAATAAGATCAATGAAGCTGGAACAACCAACAACTTCAGCTTTTCAAGCAAAGTTGATGGATACAGGGATTCATTTACAGGATTCAATACACCAGATATAAACATTCCGGTTTCTTTCACATCAGATATGTTTCCTGGTTTAGGTAAGAAGTTAGAATTCAGTAAAAACAATTCTGTAAGCCAAAGAAAATTAAAAAAGACCAAGGCAAAAGCAAGACAACAATCTAGCAATCGTCCACAAGTTATCCTGACTCATTTATCTGAAGGAGTCACGCAGTCTTTTGAGGAGTCTCCTGGATCTTGTTCACCTATGGATGTTTCTCCTTCTTGGGGTGCTGACTGTGCACCAACTTCTACCAACCCTGCAACCTCTCAGGTTCAAAATGAAGATGCTGTTGATACTACAGAGAAGCTCAGGGCCCAAAACTTTTCACCTTCTGTTACATCATCTGCTAATGCTGACATGGCAGTGAGACAACGCCCACATCAGAAGAAATATAAGCTGAGAACTGGTCGTGTTAATGTGTCCCATTCTCATAAACCTGAGCACACGAAGGCTACAGATCAAGAAACATGTGACAGTTGGCGAAAAAGGTGTTATTTTTAGCCCTCCTCCTTTTTTTATATATATTTTACATTTGTATAAACCTTATATGCTTTTGTTTTCTGAAATAAATTGATTTGTGTCAGGGGAAACGAGGCTTATAAGAGTGGAAATTTATCAGAAGCTGAAGTATGTTATTCAAAGGGTATTAGTTCAATACAACATACAGAGACACCTGGCGTTTGTATACAGCCTCTTCTTTTGTGTTATAGCAATCGTGCAGCTACACGTATGGCTCTTGGAAGAATGAGGGAAGGTCTAAACGACTGTAGAATGGCTGCTGCATTAGATCCCAATTTCATGAAGGTCAACTTAAGATCTGCAAAGTAAGATTGCTATCTGTCAGTTACTTATCAGATAAGAAAAATCATAATCTAATTTTCTTTTTACATCCTATTTCCAGCTGTCATTTACTTCTAGGAGAGGTAGATGATGCATCATACTATTATAACAAATGCTTGGAGTCTGAGGAAATCGTTTGCTTGGATAGGAGAATCACAATTGAAGCTGCAGAAGGCCTGCAAAAAGCACAGGTAACTAACTTCATGCTTCATGTAGCTTTGATGCATGTTTTGCCTTTGAAACTAAATTCCAAAATTGCCCTTGGCAGAAAGTCTCAGATTATCTGAAGCTGGCTGCAGAGATTCTTGAACAGAAAACGTACGAGTCAGCAACCAATGCATTGGGAACCATCACCGATGCTTTGTCAATAAGCTCCTATTCAGAGAAACTACTTAATATGAAAGGAGAGGCTCTTCTCATGGTATGTGAATGTGATTCATAATCTTTGTTAGTTTAATAATTGAAATTGACTGATTTGCCCTTATGAATTACAGCTGGGGAAGCATAAAGAGGTGGTTCAGCTGTGTGAGCAAACCCTAGATACAGCCGAAAAGAATTTTTCATCCGTATGCAAGATCTCATTAAGACTTTGGAGGTGGAACCTAATGTCAAAATCCTACTTTCATTTGGGTAGGCTTGAAATAGCTCTCGACTTAATGGAGAAACACGAGCAACTAAGAAGCAAGATTGTGGGTCCCAATGATTCATTAGCTCATTTGGCTGTTACCATTCGTGAACTTTTACACTGCAAGGTATAGAATATATATACATAGCTAACATTCTTGTTTTTTTTTTTTTTTTTTTCATATTAAATGTAATTCTAATTTTTTTTTTTGTTGTTGTTGAGGGAATCAGAATGCAGGAAATGAAGCCTTTCAGAATGGTAAGCATACAGAAGCAGTAGAGCATTACAGTGCTGCAATATCAAAGAGTATAGAATCACACTCATTTGCAGCTGTTTGTTTCTGCAATCGTGCTGCTGCAAACCAATCTTTGGGAGAAATCATTGATGCAATTGGAGATTGCAGTATAGCTATAGCTCTCGACACAAGCTACCCAAAAGTATGCCTTTTTCATTAATTTAATCCGTCTATATTTAAAAAATGATGTAACAAGTTCATAAAGTTGATTGCTATTTTCATATGGTGTAGGCACTTTCGAGAAGGGCCACCTTACTGGAAATGATTCGAGACTACAAACACGCATCTGATGATCTTCAAAGACTCATCTCCATTCTTGACACACAATCACAGAATTCACAAAACTCTCACAAGTCTGCTAGTAATGGCAGTGTGAAAGATCTAAGAAGAGCTCGACGTCGTCTTTCTATTCTAGAAGAAAAAGCAAAAAAAGAAAGATCCTTAGACCTTTATCTCATTCTGTAAGTTTGTTATTATTATTATTTTTTAAGATTAAGTTATCTTTATGCTTATTATTATTATTGTGTATGATTGTTAGGGGATTAAAACCTACAGATGGAGCAGCAGATGTTAAAAAGGCGTATCGAAAAGCAGCTCTGAGACATCATCCAGACAAAGTCAACCAACAATGGAAAGCGATTGCTGAATCGATTCAGATGGATGCTGATAGACTCTTCAAGATGATTGGAGAGGCATATGCTGTGCTTTCGGATCCCTCCAAGGTCTTTCTTCTACACTCTTCACTTTTTTTTTTTTTTTAATGAACTTTATAATCAAATTTCCAATTTTAACCTTGGGTTTGACTTTAACAGAGGTCAAAGTATGATCTTGAAGAGGAAATGTGGGATGACATGGAGATAAACGTAGGCAGCAGTAACAGAAGAGGATCCGATTTTTTCGGTTCACAAGAATCGAGAAAGTCGTACGGATACGGTAATGGTAACTCACATTATTACTATTGGCAGCAGGAACCAAGAAAAAGTTACCATACCTCATATCCACGTTGGTAAATTTAAGTCATAACAAACACTGAAAGAAAATTTATCCACACATCCAGACATCAAGAAAAAGGATCATATTTTTATTACATGATGAATAAGGTGGAAGGATGTCCTGGAGTTGCATACATGGTCTATACAGATGTATACATGGTGGTGAATTGGTGAAATCTGATTGATTATTTTGTTCATTTATTATTGTGTTTAAGCCGATGTGTCATTGTGACAAATACAATTGCTATTTGTCATTTTTAATGTTTGCTAAGTCGATTATCAAAGACTGGAAAATAACTCGCACTATATATATATTATAGTATATACATCTCTTTTGAAAGTCAAAACAAATCGCTTTTTAATGAAAGTTTCTACTTGAATCTTCTATTGACCTTAATATTCATCTACTCTTTAAACTTAGATATATGTCTCATTGACCTGATTTTTTAGTCTAATGAACATAATAATCCAAGTAGAACCCGGAACCAGACCGTTTTTGCCTAAACTGGTTCCGGTGTTGGTGCTGATTCTTGCATCCAAAACCGGGTTTCTTTCAGTTTCCGACTTCAAATGAGAAATGAAGTATACTCTAACTCTGACCTCATGTTCATTGGATTTTTTCTATTATTTTATACGCTTTTTACAATACAATAAATATTGGATTTCAACAACAATAACATTTTCTATTCTCTGTTCAAGCAGTTTTTTTAAATATTTTACACTCAAAATCGGTTTCTTACTTATAAAAATAAGAAATAAAGTAGACTCTTATATCTTTCGGATGATACTGAGCTAATGTTTACTGGATTTTTCTATGTTTTCATATGGTTTTTACAGCACAACATATTACACAATTCTATGTCCAAACCCAGAACCCGGTATGGTTAAGTTTTTTAAGTGAAAACGGGAACTGGTAAACCTAAAAATCTAAAAACCATTGAAATGCTTCTAGGCCGGTCCGATTTGGTCCAAATGGTCTTAAAAGCTCACGCCTAATTTTGTCTATAACAACTTTCAGAAAATAAAATAAAACTTGGGCAAAATATGAAAGACTAATTACATAAAGGGTACTATATTTCGCCGTTTTATTTTTTACTTTTCTTGATTTAAGCACTTTATTTTATTTATTTTTTTTATTAAAGACACCGTATTTAAAAAAACCCATTTCCAACGTAACCAATATATATATATATAATGAATATGTGGCTATTATGTACCTAAGGTTAGGTATAGAACTTTTAAATGACATTGTTTTAATTTTTTTTTTCATTAAAACCATCAAAATTAACAACTTTTTCTATCAAAGACACCATATATATATATATATATATATATATATATATATATATATATATATATATATATATATATATATATATGAAAAATAAATATGTGGCTATTATGTACCTAAGATTAGGTATAGAACATTTTAAATGACATTGTTTTAAACAAAAAAAAAGGGAAATCTCCATTTTAGTCCTATTATTTTACCCGCGTTTATGATAAAGTCCTAAACTATTAAATGTTAACGAAAAAGCCTGAAATACCGGATAAAACGGCGAGTTGACCCAATTTACCCGGTTACCACTCTTGCAACCGGTGACAAATCGATGTGGCATTAAATGAGATTAGGTGGAAGGTGAGTCGACCAAATCACACACCCATTCAACGGTAAATCACACACACTTATGGAAATATCTTCTCTGTAGACGACATTAACTTAGGGTTTTTTACGTGTGAAGAAGACGACAAGTGTGGCCACGAGTTCGAGTCTTCCAAGCTTTGCAAATGGAAGACGTTTGGGATTTTGATACTATTGATGTTGAAGTAGACAAGGATTTGAAGAAGCAAACCAAGAGATGCAATGATGCGTTCTTGAACAACTTGTGTCCCGACATAGCTGGTGAAGAAGGTGATGACTTTGCAATCCCTGAAACTGAACATATGGATGACGATGTTGACTTAAATGAAGATGATGCTGTGGAGAATGAAGATCAATTTGACTTAATGCGAGAAGGAAGTGGGTCCGATGAAGAAGTATCAAGTGAAAGCGACCAAGATTCTAAGCATGAGTTCGAGTACAGCACCCACGATCCAACGGTTAAATGGAACAAGATGAGACCATTTCTGGGAGAGAGGTATGAATCACCCCATCAACTAAAGTTATGTTTAACTAACCATGCTATTCATACTGGTTATAAGATAAAGTTCAAGAAATGTGACAGTCTTAGGCTAGTTGCTGTATGTGCTAGTGATCCACAAAAATTTCAATGTCCATTTAATGTTAGGGCTTCGTGGATGAACACTGAGAGGTCGTTTCAAATTAAGAAACTTGTTGACAAACATAAGTGTGTTAGGAATTACAGAAATAACAACCTTATGGGTCCAACATGGTTAGGAAACCAGTTTCTAAAAGAACTGATTAGGAAGCCCAATTTGAAGTGTAAGGAAATGCAGGTAATTATCCAAAGTAGATTCCACTGCAATGTGTCCTGGTCAAAGTGATATATAGCAAAGTGTAGGGCCATGTCTTTGATAGAAGGGAGATTGAGTGACCACTACGCTAAAGTATGGGATTATGGTGGTGAGCTGTTGAGATCAAATCCAGGTAGTTCAATTAAAATTACTGTCAGTCAAAACCAGGATAACACAACTACTTCCAAAGAATATATATCTGTTTTAAGGCAATAAAAGAAGGATGGAAGGTTGGTTGTCGTAGGGTTATTGGGCTAGATGGTTCTTTTTTAAAAGGTCAATGCAAGGGAGAATTGTTAACTGCTATAGGGAGAGATGCAAATAATCAAGTGTATCCCATTGCCTGGGCTGTAGTTGAAATAGAGAACAAGGTAAACTAGAAATGGTTCTTGGAATTGTTAAGAGATGATTTAGAATTGGATGGTGGAAGGGGTATCGCAGTAATTTCTGATCAACACAAGGTACTTCACAAAACTTTAGTATTTGTTTACTATATATTTCATACTTAGGTTATCTAATGTAATTGTGTTTGTTATGAATAGGGTCTTCTTGAGGCTACAAAGGAAGTTCTACCACTTGCACAACACAGACAATGTGCCAGACATATATATGCCAACTTCAGAAAGGTGTATACTGGTGTGTTGTTTAAAAATATGTTTTGGGCTGCTGCAAAATCAACTGTTGAAGGGGAGTTCAACATGAACATGCAAAAGATTAGTGATATTAGTCCATCTGCTTATGAACATCTAATGGCAAGGGATCCCAGTTCATGGTGCAGGGCCTTCTATGGTGAAGGATTGGCATGTGAGGCAGTAGAAAATGGAATGGCTGAATGTTTTAATGCAGATATCGTGGATGCTAGAAAAAAGCCCCTACTGACTATGCTTGAGGAAATACGACTATACATGATGGAAAGATTCTATAATCTAAAGGAAGTAGGACAGAACTGGGATACTAAAATATGCCCAGCAGCAATTAAGAAGATGGAAGCATTTGGTGAAAGTTTAAAGTAAGTTATCCTATAATTTAATTCACTAATATTATTTTTCATATGCTGATGTATTCTTAATTACAGGTCCTGGTATGTTCATCCTAGTGGTGTAACTGCTTTTGAAGTGAGGAATGGTTTTTACTCTTATTGTGTTAATTTACAAGAGTATTCTTGTACTTGTAATTTGTGGGCTGTATCAGGGATACCTTGTGTACATGCCCAAGCTGCCATTATGTATATACAACAAGATCCTGTGAGCTACATTAGTAGTTGGTTTAGTAAAGAGAAATATATGTTAACATATGGTTCCAACATACTACCAGTCAATGGTAGCAATATGTGGGTGGAATCTCCTTATCTAAAGCCCCTTCCACCTATTGAAAGAAGGATGCCAGGAAGGCTATCCATCAAGAGAAAGAGGCATGTTTCTGAACATGAGGACAAGTTTTCACAAGTATCATCTAAGGGCAGAACTGTCCAATGTACAAACTGCCAGCAAAAGGGTCACAATAAGGTCTCTTGCAAAAATCCCAATGTGATCCCTGAACCAAAACCAAAGAAGAAAATGGGAAGGCCTAAGTTAGATCCTAATCTTACCCATTGGAGAAGAGGTGGAAGGGGAGGAAGAGGTGGAAGAGGAGGTGGTAAGGGCAATAGAGGTGGAAGAGGAGGTGGTAGAGGTGAAACTAATGCTAAGGTTGAACCTGAGTTTGAGGTTAAACCTGAGGTTGAGGTTAAACCTGAGTTTGAGGTTAAACCTGAGTTTGAGGTTAAACATGATGTTGTGGATGAGGGGGATGGAATTGATATATCAGATATGGATATAATAGTAAGTTCCATTCTAAATTTGAGGTCATCAAACTACAGTGATGCTGAAATAATGTCTGTTCTTGGAATTAATGAATCTCAATTGAAGGAGTTTGGGTGTTTAAATGTGGTGAGTGTTTAATTTTAAGGGCATTACAAATAGAAGCCAATTTTTTAAATTATTTGTTTTTGTCTTCAGGAAACCAATGTTCAAGAAGAGACTCAAACAGTACAAGTGAATGAAGAAGAGATCAATGAAGAAGAGGTCAATGATGAGGATACCCAAGAAATCATGAGGAGCAACACCCAAGAAAGCAGGATGAGGAAGACCCAACAAATCAGAAGGAGGAAGCCATCAGAGAGGATAACTGAGTTAAAGTTGAAGAAGCAGGTGGTGAGCAAATTTGGGATGACTGAAAGCACACCACATAATGTTGAATAGGGCAAATGATTGTGATATGGTAGCCTTTTTTTTTTTTGTAATTAAGTCATTGTGTTGGCTTTATATAACTCTTTGGGTAAAAATTTCTCTTTTTGTAAATTTTTTGGAAAGTCAAACACTGTGACATACTTTGGTATGTAGTTTGGTATGGTTTATAATGTTATTTTGAAAGTCAAACACTAACAGTTTCTTATAGTTATTTGGTATGTACTTTTGTATGGTTTGTGATGAGAAATAGAAATCAATAGATAATGAAATAAGAGAAACAGGAAGAATCAGAGAAGAAGAAGATGATATCATTAAATCTAATGAAATGAATTACAAACTATATTGAATGAAGCAATAACCTCAAACAATCCCAGGGACTTTCCATTTTTGCCCTTCTGCCCTTTCTAGAATGCTTAATCGACATCCCCAAAATGAAATTACTCTTCCCTCTTTATTCTACTCTCTCTCTCTCTCTCTCTCCCCCTCTCTCCCTAACTGACTTTCTAGCCACTTTCAATTTTTGCCCTTCTGCCCTTTCTAGAATGCACATGTAATATTCCTAGTTATGAAATTACTCTTCCCTCTTTATTCTACTCTCTCTCTCTCTCTCTCTCTCTCTCTCCCTAACTGACTTTCTAGCCACTTTCCATTTTTGCCCTTCTGCCCTTTCTAGAATGCACATGTAATATTCCTAGTTATGAAATTACTCTTCCCTCTTTATTCTACTCTGTCTCTCTCTCTCTCTCTCTCTCTCTCTCTCTCCCTAACTGACTTTCTAGCCACTTTCCATTTTTGCCCTTCTGCCCTTTCTAGAATGCACATGTAATATTCCTAGTTATGAAATTACTCTTCCCTCTTTATTCTACTCTCTCTCTCTCTCTCTCTCTCTCTCTCCCTAACTGACTTTCTAGCCACTTTCCATTTTTGCCCTTCTGCCCTTTCTAGAATGCACATGTAATATTCCTAGTTATTTGGTATGTACTTTTGTATGGTTTGTAATGCAGTTTCCTATATTTTTTTGGTACGAACATTCCATAAGAAACATAATTAATCATCCAAAAATTACAATCAAAACCCAAACAATTGCAATCAAACCAAATATGCATTTCATACTCATATACCATTACATTAGAAGATCAATTTTTCCACAATTCATACAATTACATTCCAAAACAAACAGGGAATCCTAACATTACATTGAAACATAAATAAACATCCTAAAATTACATAACCATAACCCAAATAATTGCAATCAAACCAACCAAACACCAAATCTTCCATCCCTTAAGAACCATCACACCTTCCACTTGCAGAGGAATCTGTTGCACTACTCCTTCCACATCTTCACCCATAAAGTCTTCAAACCCTTCATCATTGACTCCATGAATTCCTTGGTTGTGAAAATCATAGATTATCTGTTTGTACCAGTTGTTTGGTAATGGAGGATCTATCCATTCAAAGAATTTGCAATCCTTTTCCTTATCCTGCATTGGACGACATTTTGCAGTGTAACTACTATGGTGTTTAATGGAAATTTCAAAGATTTGAAGATTAAAACCTCACATTTAACTAATATAGTGTTGTTCCGTTTCCATGAAGATAAAAACCTCGCACTCAAAGATTCGAAGATACTCACCTTGTAATTGGGGCAACCAACGAATCTCCTTCCAGGGTTCTTCGGCTTCCATGAAGTCCACCTGCCAACTGGTTCATCACAATCGCACCTTCTTCGAACTTGCCTGGCTGACCTATATGCACTACTGTTGGAGACGGAGGAGGAGGAGGCCATATTCAAAACTTGCAATTCGGTCGATTTAGGGTTTGTGTACTCTCAACATAATAGACTGAGGTAAATAAAGAAAGAGAGAGAGAGAGGTATGTTTGAGTCAACTTCCATGTAAGCAAAATAATGCCACATCGATTTGTCACCGGTTGCAAGAGTGGTAACTGGGTAAATTGGGTCAACTCGCCGTTTTATCCGGTATTTCAGGCTTTTTCGTTAACATTTAATAGTTTAGGACTTTATCATAAACGCGGGTAAAATAATAGGACTAAAATGGAGATTTCCCAAAAAAAAATCCAATTTTATTTTTCTTTTAATTTTGTTTTAATAGAATACCATTGAATTGAGTTAAATTATGGAATGAAAAAGATCAAATATATATTTTTTTATAGAAAAAATCATTGAAGTTTATAGGGAAAGTAAAAAACCAATATATATATATATATATATATATATATATATATATATATATATATATATATATATATATATATATATATATATATATATGAATATAACTCAAACGTTTTGTCCTTCAATTAAAAAATTAAATGATTTGTGAAAACCTTGATTGAGTTATTACAAGTTTTTCTTTTATCTATTATTCTATTAGTTTTCATTTAAATTTTAGAAATGTTGATCAAATGGTCACGAGTTTTAATATTTTAAGTTCTTAGACAGAATGAAGAAAAAGAATATAATTTCAATCGATTTAGTAAGTCACATATTAAGGAAGAATAGTAAACAATATATCATGATTGGTTTTAATATATATATGGATCAAAACGATATATTTTGGAGGGTTCTATATATAAGCTTAGGTACATGACAACCACATATTCTCTAAGCCCTATATATATATATATATATATATATATATATATATATATATATATATATATATATATAGGAAAAGTGAATATACCCTTAAGGGTATATAAGCTTATGTACCCAAATTCACTATATTACGTCGTTTTGTATTATATATACATTGTAATTGTCCAATATTCTTATAATTTAACTTCCAACTTGATTTATTTCCATGATTTTTATAAATTTCACATTTATCTTCCTCTTACATAATTTTCATTTTCAACTATAATATATATAGTCTAGTATGTGTTCGATACAAATATGTGATGTATGAGGATGATAAAAGTGAAATTTTGAAAATCTTGAAAGTAAATCAAATTAGGGATTGAATTTTAAGAACATTATAATGAATATATCAAATAAAATGATGTATTATGGTGAGTTTGAGTACCTAAGCTTATATACCCTTAAGGGTATATTCACTTTTCATATATATATATATATATATATATATATATATATATATATATATATATATATATATATATATATATATATATTGTGGTAGGTTATATATGGATGAACAATTATTATGTGGATGTAGATATTAGTATGAACCAATCATTTTAAAAACCTACTTAAGGGTAATTATGTAATCTTAATTATTAACTATTTAAGGTAATTGCTAAATTAATTAGTATCCATTAAATATTGAATCAACGTGTCATCTCTATGCATTTATCATAGTGTATCCATCTTTCCCCAATCCATTATTCATCAATGGCCTCCATATTTGTCTTTCTCTAAAAAAGCCCTAAAACCGTCTCCATGATTCCCGACCTCCAACCACACCTCTGATGTATATGAGATCTGTTGATGCTCTAGATTATAATCAAGATATTAATTGTGTTCATGGTACTGATGTTATTGACGAGAATAACGGAAGGCCGAATAAAAAGATGAAAATAGAAGAACATGTAGTTGCATATGAACCTAGTAATCTATATGCTTCAAAATTATTAAAATTTTGTATTTTTTGTTGGTATTTTTCTCCTTAATGTGTAAATAGTTTAACATAAGGATAAAATATTTTGTGTGTGCAGGTGCATCAAATTTTGATATGGAGTTAACATACGTGGTGTATGCCATTCTTTCACAAAATGATTAAAAAATATTAGTTTGACGTTGACAAAACATGCAACGCTTTAAATTAAAAAAGTTTGATAGAGCTAGGAAGCTTTTTTGGGTAAGATGATTGATCTGAAGCTTCTTTTTGTTGGTCAAAAGATCGGACAAATGAGAGCTTATAAATTTGAAACCTGGTAAATAAAAAATTCCATATGTCTTAATTTTTACTTTTTTTTCCCGTTGTTGAATTCTTAACAAGCTACATGTGTTCATAAAAATTGTTGGTGACACACAATCATAAATCTATTACGAATTCATTGTTTATTCTATTTTCCTAGTCAATTCTAACATAATTCTTGTAATCAGTTGGAAATTGCGAAAACAAAGATAGATGATTCTTGTTGTGGTTCTATAACAAAAAAAGGTGAGCTAGTTATTTATTGAGGCGGAGACAACGATGAAGACTTGAGTTGCATCATCAAAATAGTCTTTAAGAATGCATCATCATATTCTTTTAGAATGCATCAATATATCATGTTTATTCTTTCTAGTAAGTTATTTTGCTTTCCCCCTTAAGCTAATTAATTTAATTATGTGAGAATGACGTTCTTTCCTCACCGTTGGATGTTATTCTCATCTTCAATTTTTTATTCTTTAAGAATATTTTACAGCTATTTCCGGTATAATCATACAAGAATGATTATGGTAGAATCAAATAAGAGTGAGTTTTCCAAGGTTCTATTGAAATTATTCTCATAAAATACTCGACCTCATGACAATTATTCTGACAGAATGCATGAAGGGGAACATGATGATCAAGAACATAAATGTTTGGATGATGGTGTGCGATATGTAAATGAAAAATGTGACCAAAGAAATTTCTATTCATCATTATATTCTAATAGAATGATCGATTCCATGGAAGTTATTCTTATTTTGTTGTTGTAATTTTTTTAGAAATGTATTTTATTTTAAAGAACATTTTTAAACATTCTTTAAGAATGCTCCTTGATTTGAAATTAGGATTATGGAGATTCTAGTCGATTTGAAATTTCGATTTTGGAGGAGAAATACAGTAGAAAAAACTTTGGCTTGCAATATATAAAATTATAAATTTTGAATTGTCTTGTTCATGGATTTTGAATTTTGAAAAAATATATAGATAATAATTAATATAATTAATTTGAATTTGATAAGTTTTCTAAATTTATGAATTTACCTAATTAGTTGCCTAGAACAATGATACACAAAAAGTCCATATTAACCTTAAAAACATTTGAATCTATATTTTATTATATTCTAAAAGAATTTTAAAAATCTATATATTTTATAATAGTTGGTCCATAGTTGTCCCTACGTCCAC